TTATTTTACAAGATAGAACTGAGCAGCTGAGGAAGATTCTTTAAATTAGAAGGCAAAATGTACTTTAAACCTAAGTGCACCAAGCATTTTTAAAGTAAAAGTAATTTTAAATTGACTAAATGAAGATGTAACTTCACAATAGATGAATTAAAATTTGGTAATTTTATTGCACTTCCAGAATTTTTTAGTAATAATACTTAAGTTTTATTTATGTGTAATTGGTAGTATATGTTGTTGCATTTCAGCAATTATAAAACTGTAAGTCAAGGCCTGCAATATTATTCTGACTTTGGCTAATGAGATGATGATTTTATTGTGAAATATATAATTATATCTGATGTTAAAGAAAATCGTGGGTATAAAAACATAACTTTTTAACTCATTTTAAGTACTATGTTTTTCATTTTAATTATTTACATCAGTGAGTTTTAATTTTATAGAAAATAGTTACATAATTTATTAAGAATAAAGCAATTGTATTATGATTAGTGATACTAAATTACAATCTTAATTAACATTATACTGCTTACTTTTTGATTCTATGAAATAAAATCTTTTAGTCTTAGCTTTTTAAGAAGTAAATTCTTATAAAACCTTTTTAGATCTGTAGACATTTATTGTTTTATAATTTACAGTGGACAACTAGCCCATTTTTGACCCCATGAATGACATAAATTACTATCCAATGTAAACAGAAATATATCTTAATGATATTAAATGAACACAATAACAAAATCATATCAGTAATTTGGGACATGATTTATATTTTTGAGGAACTAAATAAGATTTTAGTACCACATGGATTCTGCTGATTAGAACTTGCCAGAAACTTTACTTAGAACATGTTATAATAACATTCCACTCCTGGATACAGTGCAACTAGCCGTACTATGCACAAACTCTAGAACAGCACACCTCAAATTTTCCATGCATATGAATCACCAGGGGATCTTGGTGAAGTTAGAGACTGTGTTTCTGAGAAGCTCCCAGATCAGAAGCTCCCATCCAGAGAATACATCTTAAATAACAAGGCTCTAGAATCCTGGTCTGCATTGCATGCCCCATGTAGTAACATAGATACCAATAGCTTGGGGCTAATTCAACATTATCTGAATCTAAAAAAATGCACTGGTGTTTCAGTTGATGCAAACAGGGAAGAAAAGGCTTAAATTGAGATGGTAGGGCAATGAACAATTCCTGTAACTTTCAACGCTGTACAATTTATTTGGAAGGTTCTAGCTTATAAAGAAATCCTGTTCAATGGTGGTTATAAGACATAACTTGTTTCCAATGTTACTTGAAGTAGTTCTAATTCTGCCCAATCCCAGTCAATCACCAAACTGCTTCACTTTGAAGTGAAGGACTAAAAGCTAAGGTGAAGCTTAAGAAGTATAGGCATCCTCTTGAGAAGTATAGGTATATTTACTTCCTCAGACCCCTTCTTTCCCATGTAATATTTCATTGAATTGCTACTAACTTTTGCCATGGGCAATCATTCTTTATCTACGGTTTTCTTTTTTTTCTCTTATGGGTTTCACTTTTCCTCTAGTTTCACATAATCCTGAGATTGTTCATTTGTCTTGTGACATGTCAAGAGAGAAAAAGTATCTGACAGAAACTACACACGGCGAGAGCCAAGAGTTGGGAGGAAAGATTTCATTAACACCCTAAAGGGAAAGATGATATCCTACATTTTAATTCATTGTGGATAGGAAAACAGCCTTCTCTCAGACCAATAGGAAGCTTGCACTACTAAGATAGGAGAATAGGAACTTTTACATAATTCAGGGTTGTTAAAGGACAAACATAGATAACAAATGAGAGATGGAATAATAAACATACCTGACAAAAAGTGATTATATTTCCGCAGGTAACCTGCTGAGTTTTTATGTGGCATTAATGCACCAAGTTTTTTAGATAGGCATAGAAAAAAGAGCTACAAAGGCAGTAGTTATTAAATGCTTAATGGAACAGTTGAGGCAAAAACTATGAGAACTTCTACACGGTAACTGTTTCCACAGAATCAGCAAATGTACAGCAAAGGTAGTGAAATTTTATTTCCTTTTAAAAATGATTCAGGATAAAGTCTAAAGTCTGAAACATGACACAGAAGACTTCCTATCTGATCTTTGCATACTCATTCATGCCCTTTCTGATCTTGACCTTACTTTAAATCCTTAGTTTTTAAGCCCTGAAACACCATTTGTATATTTCTTCCTTCACTATGCACAAGTCTGAAATATCCTTCCTTTTCTTATCTGCCTACTACATTTTTACTTACTAGTCCAGATTCCACTCAAGAATCACTTATTTTGTGATGCTTTCTCCAGTGACATCAAGGAAAATCATCTGCTTCTTCTAACCTACTGGGTAGTATCTTTCATAGCTAATGCTTACAGTGCTGCATAGTTACTGTATGTCTGTCTCCCTCACTTGACTGTGACTTTTTCTGAGCTAAGTCACTAAAAGTAAGCATTAACTTGTTAGTTATTTATAGAAACTTGAACACTTACTGCTCTTTAGTGAATGCGCACTACTAATTTCCTGGTTACAAATTAAAATTTGTTATCATTCTGATTAATTACACGTTTGAAATTATCTGTTGAATTTTCTTAGGATTACTACCTGAAAGCATAGGTCCAGGCCTTAGAGCTGGATGAAAATCTTGTTTTCATTGTCATCTCTTTGTACCTGTCCCCTCCCTTGGCCAGCCCTACACATAATTTTGAAGATAACCATTCCTCCTGATATATTTCTACCTTAAAAGGTTCAGTCATCATCATTTGCCTACTTGCTCAAAGTTTAACTCACTATTTCATTGCAAGCCTTTCCTCATACCTTGTCTCCCACAAACACAGTTAATGCATCTGTTTTTGTTTTGACAAGTTTCTCACAGTGAGAATTTGCTCCTTGCTGATAGCCTAGCAGCACTCAATTTGTGACTCATATTGTCTTCTGATTCCTTTATATAAGTCATCTCAATGTATGGATTATAAATCTCTCTAGAGCAAGAATGGATTTCTATGACAAAAGTCAGTGGATTATAATGGGAGATACATCGGTGTCAGAAAACACAGGTCTGAACTCTGCCACTTGTATGATTTGCTGGAAAATTATCTTTTATACTGTCACTGTCTTCATCTGTAAAATGAAAACCAACCATGGGGAATGTTGTGAGAATTAAATGAGATGCCATGTCTGGAAGCATTCTGTAAATTTTAATACCCTATGAAAATAAGTGCGTCTTTTTACTGCAACTTCAAAACTGTTTTGTGGACTCCACATGCTATACACAGTGCAGATTGTTAGAAAAGCCTCTCTCAGAATCTCAAGTCAAGTTGGGTGGGTATATTTCTTGTAGTTTTTAAAGAAACAGATGCAAAGTCCTATTGCTCATCTCCTGCCCGTTCCCCGCCCTGCCCCGAGGGGAGACAAATGATTACAGTCCCATACAATTTCTGGCGAACTATTTTCACCATTTTCCATCTGCTTATCAAGCATGTCCTCTTGTAGTCCTACTTCTTGCTTTACCAACTCACCCATGAAATAAGCCCTGTCCAGTCTCTCTCCACCCTGCGTTAGCTGCCACACCTAGCGCGCTCTTTCTTCTTATCCTGGCCTGCCTGCTTTCCTCTCCCTTGGGCTCGTCTTCCCCTCTGCCGGCTGGCAAGGAGAAGCATACTTACTGGCACTGCCCCCAAACAGATGCTTGCCTCTCTGCTCCCTTCCCCCTTCCTCTCCCCGCCAAACCGTCACCTGCCAAGGGCTGGTGGCTGCTGCCTCCCCTGTCCACTGCCTCGCTTCGCTTCGCGAGGCTCCAGTCCTTGCTGGCAGCCTCTGCTGAAGCTCTGGCCCGCGTTCCCCGCTCCTCTCCCCAGCAGCCTCCGCCTCGCGCCCGCAGCTCTGGGCCCGCCAGCCTCTCCCCCGCGCGGTCTGCGCGCAGCCTCTTTCTCCCGCCCTCCCAGCTGCTTTACTCGCCTTTCCTCAGGTTGCTCCCGCTCCTTTCCCCAGCTCTTTCCCTCGCTCCCACAGCCAGATTCTTTCCAACGCCCCGACCCCTTTGCTCGGCTGTTTCCGTAACACTCGGAGCACCTCTCCCGAGCGCCAGTGTGCGCTGTGTCCCCCGTTCACTTGGAAGAGGTCATCTTCATTCCGCTCAGGAGTGCGCTCGTTTCCCAACCAAATTCCCCGTGCTGCTTCTGGAGCACGGAAGGCGGAAGGTAGCGATGTTAGACGGGGTTCAGGCCAACACCGGGCCACAGGCCAGGCGGACCCGGACAAAGTTTTGGACGCGTGGGACTTGCCGTCTCACGTTTCACAAACTCGGTCATCCCGGCCACTGCCCCAAGCCCCCAGACCCTACACAGTAACGGGGCGAAGCTCCGCCGATTCCCAGCGCCCCTGAGCTTCCGGGCGGCTCGGCTGAGGATGCTGAACGCTCTCCAGGACCAGGCCCTTGCGCTCCGCAGCCCCACGAGGGGCCACAGCTGAGCCCCACCCAGGCCCCGTCCGGGCTTCTGCCAGCCTTGAGGTGGCGGTGGTGGTCTTGGTGGGCAGAGAGGAGAGAGTGCCAGCGCCCCGGGCTGAGGGTGGGCCACACTGCTGCAGAGCCCCGAACCAGGTCCCTTCTCCGGGCTGGATCCCTGCAGGGCGCCATCCGGGAGCCTCGACAAAGCTTTCTCCTTTAAGAGGCGCGCGTGCGTGTGTGTCGGGCCGCGTGTGCTCCCGTGTGTCGGCTCGCGTGTGTGTGCGCGTGCACGCGCGCCCGGGCTGGAGCCAGGGGGCCCGGGAAGGAGGAGTTATGTAGATTACGGGTGGACGTTCCAGAGGGGAGCGCGGGGAGCAGAGGAGGAGAAGCCCGGCGAGGGAGCGAGGGGCGGCGGAGGCCCATCCCGCAGGAGCTGGGGGCGGCGGCGGCGGCGGCGGAGGAGGAGGAGGAGGAGGCGGAGGAGGAGGAGGAGGAGGAGGCGGAGGACGCACGGGCTGGAGGCGGCGGCGGCTGCGGCTGCGATTCGGGTCTGGGAGTCCGAACCGCGGGTGAACTTGGGCGCCGCGTTCCGGGTGACGGAGCGGGGATGGTGAGCGCGAGCTGCTGCTCCTGACCCCGCTGCGCCGCCGCCGCTCCTCGGGCTGCCGAGCTCGGGCCCGTCTCTCCCCTGCCCGCCCGCGGGTGAACCTGCAGGCTCCTTGCCCACCCCGAGGACTTTTTTTTGAAAGGAATCAAGGGAGGGAGGGAGAGGGAAAGAGGGAGAGAACGAAGGGGAGCTCGTCCATCCATTGAAGCACAGTTCACTATGATCTTACTCGCCTTCAGCACTGGAAGACGGGTGGATTTCGTGCATCACTCGGGGGTGTTTTTCTTGCAAACCTTGCTTTGGATTGTGTGTGCTACAGTCTGCGGAACGGAGCAGTATTTCAATGTGGAGGTAAGAGTACGAGGGCTTCTGTCCTCTCCCCTTGCCTGGGCTGCTCCCTGAAGGTTTCCTTCAGCTCCCACTGCCCACCCTCAGCACGTTGTTGCTCTGGCAGCCCAGGAAACCCTGGTTGAGTTTCCTTGTCTTAGGTGATGGATGCGTGAGCGACCGAGAATCCGTTATCCCCAACAGCACAAAGCACGATGCTGCGCGCCCCGAGGCATAATTGTGGCCGGTCTACGCTGCTCACCCAGGGAAAGGCGAAGCCCTCCGTGTGGCAAACGTGTAGTTTAGGAAGGCAGCTTGAGTTCAGGATGGATGAACAGCTCAGGAAAGGCGGAATTGATTGCCTGGCATCATGAACTGCCTCGGTATTGTTCCTGAAATCTTTCTCCCTGAGGTTGGTGCCTAACAAAGGAGGCAAAAATCAAAGAATCTAGAGGAGAGCGTGGGAACACTTGATATGTTTAATAACATTACTTTGTGATAAAACATTTGAACAGTCTTTTTCTGATTTAGACAGAACTTAATGCACAGTAACTAGATCTGGCTACTCAGAGGATATGAAATCCATCTCTTTTTAAGTATCTTCTCTCCCCCTCCCCCGCCAATTGAAAGTAAACGTGGCCCCATGTAATAATTGTGGGGTGTGTTTTTTTCATTTCACGCCCTCATGGCAAGACAGAGAGGGCTCACAGTGTCATTTGTTTTACCGTGATAGCTTTGGGAACAGACAGCACAAAACAAAAGGGAACTTGAGGATAAGGACTTGTCAGACCTGTGCCAAAGTACTCTCCTGTCATCAGCTCAGCACTAGCCAGCGGTGTGCAGTAAATCAGTGGAAGTGGGGACCCACCTGGGCTGTGACACAAGTTTATTACACGCAGGGTGGGGTGCAAAGAGAGAGGGTCTCACTAAAATCTCTCCTTTTGATAAAAAGATCTAATGTCTTCCGATTTCTCAAGGCAATGATTAAGTCTCTTAGGAAGGTGTGACTTTTTCCTAAATTGTTGATATGATAAAGCTTCCTGTCATTTTGTTGGAAGCCTGTGTTTACACAATAGCAGGACCTGTTGCACGGGATTTGAACATGCTTCATGTAACCAATTTATATTCAAAGTGTGCATAATAAATGCCATGTGTGGAGGCATAGTCTGAATATAACTGTGTTTATATAAACTGTTCTTAGGACTACATATGATAAGTGATGATATGGAAACAAAGTATTTGAAAAAGTAAGAACCACTGTCAAATGAGTTAAATAAGTTTGCAGGTGTGAAGTATGAATATGTTACATGAAAACCCCAATTTGAAAACGGAAACAGTCTCAAATGTCTTGAAAAAGACCTTTTGTTTTTTCCTATAAAAAAGAGAAATAGAAGGGCTAGAAGTCCAGACTTTTTTTTTTTATGGCAAATTTGAACTTTTGGAATTACATACCACAGATGGATTTTGTACCTAACATTTAAATCAAGAGATAATTTAATGTTGAAATGAAATAATTAGTTCATAGGCTGCAAGAATGAAAATGGCAAGCTGTTGTTTTTAATGTTATAAACAGAAGGCCCTATTGCTTCAGACTGGTTGTGGTAGAGATGGTGAAGTGGGGCATGGGAGGTTGTTAAAAGTGAGTGCCAGGCAGTGTCTTGCTAACTATGGGAAGGGAGGCTACCTGGTTTGAGGAAGTCTTTGATTTGTTTTCAGAGATTGGAATAACATTAGTGTTTTGATGATTATTAGGTTTCTTTATGAGGTTAAACAGCAATTAGAATTTCTTTACATTTGTCTTCCTCAATCAGTTCAATCAAATATTATGCAAGAAAAAGTTATAGTGTTACTAAACATGATTTGATTTTGGATTCCAATGATCTCTTTCTTCAAGATATATATGAAAAAATGATTCACAGAGAAGAGTTATTTTCCCATTTTTGGAGTATTTAAGTTCTTCCATTCGTGTTTATTGTACAGTGCAAGGATGCAAGTATAACAGATTAAAGACATGTGCCCTCTGAGACTTTGAAAAGCTTACTTGATGCAAAGGAAATTTTCTACTTATTTATAGGAGATTATGTTTCATAGTTTGAATTATTCCCAAATAGATTTTTTAAGCTCTTGAGAACTTGGTTGGAGTTATAAGCTTCTTTCTGTGTAACAACCTCTATTTTTACAGGAGTAACATATGCTATCAAACTGCTAGTAAATCAAAATATTACAGAACATAGAATGACAGGATATTTTCTGACATGCATTTCTGCCTGGTTTGCTTTTGTTAGACAGTTCTTTTTGGTAGGAAACACTAATGGGGAGAATATTCCATTACTTCCTCTCCAGAAGAGGCATTTACATTGTGTTCCTTGTTCTTCATTGCAGAACACACAACACACACACTGAGATTGCTTTATTTGATTGATTCTCAAGGACAGTTTTAAAATAAACAGTAATGGTATCAATCATGCATGAAGCTCATATGCTCATGATTTTTTTCTAGTAAGAACGCTAAGTTATTATATTTGGAACAAAGCTTCAGAGAGATGGTTTTTATGTAGCCAACTAAGATTATAATGTTTTATTCATCACTCAACTTAACAATTTGTGGTATCTCTATAATTTAAAGTTTAAAAACTTGTATTTTTCCCCCCTAGAGTGGCTTTTGGGTACAAATATTCCTGTTAATTCCTCTCTGAATTTTAAGATAATAAACATTTGGAAACTTCTTATCAGAGTGGGAGAAAAATCTTGATATGCTTATGAAAACTTCTTAAAGAGAAAGAAAGCATTGGGTTTTGTTTTTATTTTTTAAAGCAAAAAGGAACATCTCTTACAATAAGCCAGGGTTAGATACTTGCAGTAGTATGGAAGAAAGTCAATACATTTACGTACCTGTATTTTAGGTGGAACATTTTTAAATGTTATATTTTCAGTGTATACTCGGCTAGATAAAGTTTTTGCATATCGTTAGACCCCTTGGGGGAGTCTTTCAGTATATATTGATTAGCATAATGCAAAGGAATTACATTCCTAATATTAAGTCAAAAACCACTCCCATTGGGCAGCAGATTGAATCAGGAGTGCTCATTGGTCAGAAGCGTCTAAATTATTAACAAAGAATTATGATTTGATCTCTACTAAAAATCATTTTAGTCCTAAAGTATTATCTCATACTGTGGATTCTGATGATTCTGGGGATTTTTTTTTTTTGGTATAGTACAAGCATTTATGTCATATTTGAGATACAGTGTAGTTACTAATAGTCATAACTCATTAACTTCGACAGTTTGTCAAATTTCAAATGTCAGAGCAACATAGTCCACATTGATTTTTAAGCAGCACACATTTACAGTAAGGAAAAAGAATTAAAGCTAGTTTAATGGAACAATGTAAATATGTAAACTCTGAATGATACATGTGTCAAAGCTTAAGAAAATGATTATGCATTTGTGACAAAATAACCTTGATGAAGCAATTTTTTTCATTTCCAATTAAAGAAACAAGAGATTCTAGATTCCAAATGGATCCTTCATGAAAAATATTTTTGATTGTGAGTGTAAACATTTACTAAATTTTTCATGAAATACATTTATGTAACTGGCTTAGGATTTATTCACCCTGTCATGGTTGTCTGAATCTACCCAAAAGTCAAAGTTTGCTTGGGGTGACTTTGTACTGTATATAAACTTGGCAATAATTGATCAGGAACTGTTGCAGAGACAAAAAAAATGACAGATTTTTAAATGTCTTGTGTTGAGACACTTGGGCTCCTTATCACTTTGTCCTTTACTTACTTAAATAATGAAAATACACTATTTTATTAGCTCATGGAAGGATGGTGACAACATACCTTCTAGAGTCAGGGACTGTTCTGACAACATAGCATGATTTTTCATTGTAACACTTTATAGCTGATCACAATAGGGCCCGTGTGACTCATTCATAAAGGTTTTTGGCTGCCTCAAGATTGCAGGCAAAACAAGAAATACCAAATATATTAGCCATTTAAAAATTCCCATAACCCAAAACAATGACAAGAGTACCAGAAGGCTAGACAGACAGTCCTAAGGTTCTCTACCTTCACCTGCATGGCCCACTTGGGCTATGCCTTTCTCTGTTCAGAGTTACCAAGATAGGTTTTGCCCAAATTTAGAGTTACTCAGGAAACCCTTCAGTTTTTGTGCAGGAGAATAATGATGAAGCACACATATTCTGGAACTGGATGGCTTAAGTTCTAATTCTATTCCTTCCGGTTGCAAATTAATTAGTCTCTGTGAGATGGACATACTAAGAGTACTGGCCTTATCAGGTTATTTTGAAGATGAAATGAATATGTATATATATATCATATTACATATGCTGTATCATATATATCGTATGTACATATGCTATATTTATATAACTTGGAACAAGTATTTCTGTATTTAAACGCCCAGTACTTTTTAGATGCCATTATTGTTAACAGAAAATAAATTGTGATGCAGATGTAATTGACATGATAACATTTAATTTCATAAAAATACATCAGGTTAGGACATATCAGCTGGACTAGAAATATTTAGTTTAAATACCTTTGCCATTTTAAAAAAATGTACTAAAAATCAATCAAGCTAACATCAGTACATTTTCTTCCTGTGGATTTTTCTTAGACAGTTCAATTTAGGAATGTGATTTTCACATTTTGTCTTGTCATATGTTACTATCATAGAATGTCAAATTCAGCTCAGACCTTCTATTACAAGGCTAAGTTCACTGAAATCTGTTCATCTTTTCTAATACCATAGAAAATAAATAGGTCTTTATGACTCAGTGGACTCTTTTATTTTAACTGGCTCAATCCCAAGCACTTCTTTTCTATAGTAGGTGTTAGGATTCAAAGTATAACTTAGGCCAGCTGTATGTTATACTCCAAATTTAGAACATAAAGATTTCCTTTTATTTATAGAAAAGTAATATGAATGGGCAGAAAAATAATGTTTTCTACAATCACAAAGATGTTTTTAAAGCCATGTGCACATAACATT